AAAGAATATGACTGTAAAACACAACAAAACGTGCCTACATAATTTACGCATAATACAGACTAGAAAAAAATTAAATCGAAGGAGATTATTAGCCTTGAATAGTTGAAAATTAATGGCTACTAAATGCACTATAACGTGAATTTGTTTACACTTTACATAATTGTTAGAAAAAATGGCAGGCTTCAAGATCGCAGTAGATTTATTTCATCCTGTTCTAGTTCAATAAAGGGCACAAGTCTTAATACCTTTATCAATTTCAAATACAATTTGATGCAATTAAACTAATCAATATTCCATGTCACACCCAATCAAAAGCTCATTGCATCGATCATATTCTAATAATAACAATAACAACATTTCATACCCCTTTTCTGAAAAAAAAAAAAATGTAGTTTTTATGTAATGTTTTAATTTTTTAATTTGTTAAGACTCGAACATGAGTTATTCTTCTTTTTGTATGAAAACTTTAATAAAACTGGGCTTTTTGATTGTATTGTTGAAATATTTAGAATAATTTATGAATAATATAATGTAATGTGCTATATATCCAGAATAATTCCTAGTTAGTAATCGATCTTACTTTTTTTTTGCTTTGTTTTTTTTTTTTCCTTCTGTATTTTGATGGGATGGGTCATGGGTGACATGGGTAATTGGAGATTCCAAATAGGCTTGCGAGAAATTTGCAGATTTAGCAGCCTTAGAAGTCAAAGGAGACAAATTCCAAATAATTTCGTAACAATCTCGATGAGTTGATGATAACTGGGGCTGCAAACGAATTGAACGGCTCGCGAGCGCTTGAGTCAAAGCTCAACTCGAGCTCGAGTTTGACCGAACTCGAGTCGAGCTCGAACCCATATTTTGCCTTGTCGAACGACTCGAGATAGATGTAAATTACTAAAATACTATCTTATATATATTAACATATGTCCTCAATGGTAATTTTACCTTTCCACTTTAAAAATTTCAAGTCGAGCTCGAGCATTTTGATTTCGAGTCTAGCTCGAGCTATTGTAATTTTTTCTCAAGTCGAGCTCCAGCCTAAAAAATAGAGCTCGACGAGCTCGAGCTCGAGTAGCAAAAAAAAAAAGTCAATCCTGCTCGATAAGGCCAATGCTCGACTCGGCTCGGCTCGTTTGCAGCCCTAATGACAACCCAATAATAGTAGTAGTAGTAATAATAATAATAATAATAATAATAATAATAATAATAATAATAATAATAACTACTGATTTTCGTTCATAATCAAGTGCAAATAGTGAATCCACTCGAGATTAAAGTTGAGCACTTTCACGTTTTCAACGTTATATTGCATTTTTTAGACTTCAGAAAGTACCCTCGCCTTTATATTATCCCATCAACATTCTGGCCAGCTCCCATTTTTGAAGGAATAGAATATAGATAATTAAATAATTAATAGTGGAACGTGGTTTTATGGAAAAAAAATTGAAGCCTTTAGATTAATTGATTTGTTAATTGCTTTTATATATTTTTTTCAAACAACAAACTTCAATATAACTCGGAATTAGATTAATTGATTTGTTAATTGCAACTGCCCTAATTTTAAATTTTATAACAATTTACCTGTCAAGGAAGAAAGAAAAAAAAAATATACCTCTAAATCCATGACTATAATGGAGAAAAATGGAGGAAAAATATACAATTGATATTATAATGTATGATTATAATGAATCTACGGTAACAAACACTGACGGAATTATTCCATCAATGAGATTGTAGTTATTCCCTTATAATGGATAAAGTCATACCTCTAAATACACGAGACACCCGTTGTAAATATAATAATTTCCTATTTTAATATATTTTTTTCAAATTAAAAAACCGAAAGTTTTTATACTATCAACGTTTTATTGGAACTTTTTAACATTTGGATCACACAACTCATATACTACACTCGACCTGAATTCTCACTATCCTTGTTATTTAGAATATCCCTACTTGTTAAAAAGAATTTTTATTCAGCTTGGATTATGCTCGAGATATCTATTCGATAATTGTAATTGGAATACTTATTAAATAAGCCTGATTTATACATCCCCAAATCTCAATTCTTGATGGATATATAACTAGATTGAGATCTAACTCAGATTATTTGACACGCGTTGGGGTAGTAGTTTATTAATTTAGCAATTAATAATTAGGGGTTGAGATTTTAACAACAGTATATGTAAGTCAATATTTGAGCCATTTAATATATGAAAGATATATATATTTGAGTTAAGTGGCTATAAATATGTAAGTCATTTGGCCATTTAATATATGTAAAGTATGAATTAATTTCGGAGACCTCATCTATCCGATGAAAGAATTTTGAATTTGTACTTACTCAAGAAGTACTTTATCCCTATACTATTTATTATAGTAGTTTGTATCAGTATGTTTGCAAATGAATGCATATTTTCTGAGTCAATATATTTTTCTTTCTCATAATAGTTGTTGTAAAATACATAAATACATACTCATACCATCAAAATCATAGTACAAAAAAACAATATTTAATTGCATAAATATGCATTTTTTTATTTGAAAATATATATATTTTACCTAGCCAATCTAACAACAATATAAGAGGTTAAACATGACCATTAATCACTTAAAACCAGTGTTCTAAAAGTCGCTAGGCGCCCGCTAGACGCTCGACCAGCGCCTAGCGCCTAGAGCGCCTAGTCGGGGCCCAGAAATTAATATTAAATACCTTAATTTTTATTTATTTTAACTACCTACAAAATAAAACTATCTCAACTTATAGTAAATTCACACACCAAAGTTCAAATAATAATGTTAATATATATTAAAGAATACATGAAAACAAAATAATGTAATTAGTATTTAAAAAATAAAAAAAAAATAAAAAAAAAACTGAAAATTTGCCGCCGAGCCCGCCTAGGAGCGCCTAGGTCCGCCTACGCCCGCCTAGACGCCGCCTAACCGCCTGGCCGCCGAGCCCGCCAAGCCCGCCTAGGAGCGCCTAGGGCCGCCTAGGCGCCTGGCCGATTTTTTCTGCCGATTTGTATAAATCGGAGGCGCCCGGGCACCGCCTAGCGCCTAGGCGCCGCCTAGGCGACCGCCTAGATCGATTTTTAGAACAGTGCTTAAAACATTTTTATCATCAAAACAATGGTTAATTGCGACTTGCGAGTGGATATCGATCGTAGCAGAGACAAATTACCAAATGTTTGGTGTATTGTTGAATTTAAATATCATGGCATATAGGATAAGCTGTACCATCTCTAGCTGTCCATATAAAATTAATGGCCCATAAAATTGTTGTGAGAACTCATTAGGTTCGATAGAAAATGTTTTATTCAGTAATGATTAGGCTTTGTTGACTGTATATCATAAAATTGAATTTAAATCTAGTGGATCACCCTATAAAGTAAGGAGAAGAAATATGCTGTAAATAAATTAATATAATGGACTCATGCATGTTTTTTATTTGAAACAAATTCTTTTTAAACACAAATACTATTTACTTTATCTCTTTACTAATATATTTAATAAATAAAAAATAATATTTTTATATAGTTTCATCTCTCTTTTACAAACAGACTAAACAGTCATCCGAGAAATAATATCATTTCCCAACCTCAAGCATAAATATATATCAGCACAAAAATAATTTACAAAAGTATTAGCACAAATTAGATATACAAATACATNAAAAAGTTGATCCACAGAAAAACTCGCGTGAGGGGGAGGATTCTAGAAGCGCGGGAAACTTTTACCCAACCCGTCGACATTCACGAAGAACCCCACGAGATCTCGCCTGTAAGGCAGGTACGATTTTTTCTTATTCCCCTCCGCAACCGCCCTTTTATGCACGTAGAGCAACTCGTGAGCCGAACGCGCCGCCGTCCCGGCCCCTTTCCCCTTCGCTCTTCCCGGCAGCTCCGCCGCCGCCGTCGGCAGCTTCTCCTCCCTGTTTTTCGGCGCCAGAAAGACGAAACTGTCCTTCCCCTCGCTATTACTGCGCAGCAGGTCGCGGAACCTCCACCGCTTGGACGCCGAACCGGTCGAGCTGCTCTTCCTGCATCCGCCAGGCGGCGGCCGGTCCTCCGCCCTCGGCCGCCACACACAGTACGTGCCCTCCGGCACGCTCTCCAGCTCGTCGGCCTCCGTCGAAGAGCAGGACGCCCGGTCTTCGCTTTCCTCGGCGAATAGTTTGCTCAGCGGAGCTACCGCGACGCTCGATTCCGGCAGATCTGCTTCACTTTTCGACCCGATTTTGTCTCCGGCGCCGCCGTTGGCTGACAATAGATCTCGATCGAACACTGGAAAAACGGCGCTGAGATCAACGGCTGAGATCACCCTGTCTTCGGGAAACAGAGCAAACTCGAAATCATCGTCGCTCGGATTTGGCGCCGCCATTCGCCGGGCGATTTCGGCTAATCGGCCGGAGGAATAGCTGTTGAAACTCGGGCACGGGTACGCATCTTCATCTATATCCATTGTGTAAATCTCAACTATTTGTTTTGAGTGTGATTTTATGGTGCGTTTATATAGGTTGTATCTTGTGTATATGCGGAGACAGAAAATAACAGAGGAATTAGGTGAGAGGTGTGGAAAATGGGAGATTTGGGATATTTAAATACGCGGGCTTTGGGAATGGGACTTCTCCCAGACGCAATTGGAAGGGATTTCCGAAATAAATAAATGAATAGTTAAAGTGAAATAATGGAAGGTTCTTTTGATAAAAATATTTCCCAAAGGTGGAAACTATCTTGTGTGCATGTGGAAATTATTTTAGTTTTAACAAATAAAATTGAGTGCATAACTGCATATACAAGTTGTAGAAATGAAGAAGACACTAGAAATTGGAGAATTTTGTAATTAATGTAATTTCGAGAGGCCATCTACCTACCTTTATAAATAAGTATTCAATTTTTTTTTAAAAAAAAAATACAGAATCAACAATTCATATTTTGACTAATATTATTGTACATCAAATCTTCGTAAACCGTATGTTATTATATTATTGGTTATCACTATTCATTTTCTTCCATACTTCAATTATTTCCCATATTTCTTCTGTTTTTATTATTCTCATTACATTCTTTATTTTTTTTTATATTATAATTGAAAGAGTAGTGTAAAATGATATTTAAAAATTTACTATGTTGTTAACAAATATGCATATTTTTATATTGAGATATAGTATTTTAAAGATAAAATAACTTAACATTTGATATTTCAGGATAAAAGTAGAACTTTTATTCATAAAATTGTCAATCACCTGCCCATTTTTTAACAACAATATCTATGCGGCAGTGGCTTCTTCTCCAAGATTAGAAGATATTGAAATAACATAACAAACATGAATGCTTCAATTTTGAAATAAACAATTAAATGAATGAAAAATACATTGACTAAAATTTTTAATGATATTCTATACAGTGACATTAATAAGGTGGGGAGTGACTTCACGTGGGCTTCTAGAAGTAAGGAAGTATGGCAAAAGTCAAACGCTACCTTATCATTATTTTTAATTATAATAGCCTGATTTCATTCACAACTTACTACATAGCATAATATTTCTGTCACGTTCTACTAAATAAAATAAGATTTATGCCTAATACAATCTACCCTTGTTTGTTTCTCAGATTGAGATTGGACTAATTTAATTTAATTGAAAAGATTGTATTGTTGGTTGTTTGCTTTTGAGGATGAGATTGGACTAATGTAGTCAAATGGAAAATGATTGTACTGTTTAGATTGGATTAATTCTATGTTTGTTATATATGATAAGGGGTAGGATAACTTTAAATTTAATAAAAAAAAAGAAAAAAAAATATATAGGTGGTGTAAAATAATGTTTTACCCCTTTCAAATAAATCAAAAAAAAAAAGAAAAAAAAATATATAGGTGGTGTAAAATAATGTTTTACCCCTTTCAAATAAATCAAAAATTATTCTTCCCCAATAAAATAATGTTTTTGGTTAAACCATGTTCGGTGGACATGTGGTTTTATACTTCGCCGTATATTGATAACAAAAGTAATTTGGGAAATAAATGAGAATACGTAACAAAAAGCTAATGACTAATACAGAAAATCAGTACAAGTCGAACACAATAGTCCAAGATACATAGGCTTGCCGATAACCAGTTAGATGTTGAAAATTTTCGTGCTTTCAAAGAACGCACGAATATACGCCGGTTTATATCTCACCGGACTACACTACAACCAACATACTAACCACATCAGTCCAAATCGATGCACGATCCGGAGTCGGAATCATCAATTTGCCCATCCACTTCTTCACCATTGAAATCGTCGATGATTTGAATTTCTTCCTTCTCTTCCATGCCAACCGCCATTTTCATGTGGGGTCTTCATGGGGCTCGTCTTCGTCCAGCTAGATTGAATTGTAAATGTTACGACCCGCCTCCACCTCCAAATCGATGGGATAGTGAATCGTCGCGCCCGGCTAGTCCCCAAATTCATGTGCATCCGAATCATCAAACTCTATTGGTTCATAAACCGTGTCTCTAGGGCCAATCGACGCACTCATAGTATGCAGTAAATGCAATCCGGTTGAGGAACTCATATGTAATAAAATATCTCATGCAACAGATTTGTGACATCCAAGAATCAATATTATTAAAACAATTCATATAAATACCTGAAGACAATAAACAAACAAAAAATACAAAAAATGAAATAACATGGTTGACCAAATATCCAAATATATACCAATGAAATATGGCCAGACCTCAACTGACCAGCATCACTCTTTCTTTTCACATGTTCTAACACGTTAATTGATAAGATGTTTATTACTTGACATCTTATCTTATCTAAATGCAGGTATATCCCATTACAAATGCAAACCATATTAAAGCTCATACCAATCTATGCAAATATTGTCATGAAAATTCATCTGCACCACAATAGAACAATATACAATAGAACAGAGACATGAGCAATAAAAATGGATCAGCTGCACAATATGCAATGCAAAGAACACTCCACTAGTCATAAGCACCACAATTGTATACCATGTATTAATCACATAAACAAACTTTTATTTCAAAACCTTTTTATATGACAATTCATTTATCAGAGAAGGAACACAAGAGCTTACCATATTCATAAATTTTATACAAGTATTAAATTATTAACCGACTAAGTTGTTACCCATCTACAAAGAAAATGCAAGGTTGTATGCCTTCTTATAAATCATTTTGCACCAAGGATGAGAAATGATAGTTTACTTATGTGTGCTTAAGTTGATTTAGCAAAATTAGGAGAAAAAAGGAATGCTCGTGAACCATGAATATAAATACCATGATCCTGAATCTCCTTTAATCTTCAAAATTACTACTCCAACATTTATCAATTAATTAGTTGGTTTTAGTGTTACTGCATTTTGAGATTTAATAGGACTTATTGGTGGACTAAACAATTAACCCCAAATTTAAATGGTAATAAAATCCGGATATTCAAGTTCCACATTATCCATTGAACCAGTTTGTGTTGTTTATAGTTTTTTATTGAGAATCCAATCGCATTCGGGTATTGGGAAAATTGTTTGAGCAAAAAGAATTTAAATAATTACCTTACATTATCCAACGATTTTAGAAATCCAAAGCACATTCACAGGCAGAGCAAGATGGGATATAAAAATTTTAAGATTAATGCCGATAATTACCTTTCGCAGATGTCAGACTTCAAAATCGGTTGACAAAATGGATAGCGGACGACTGACATTTGATAACGAGTTCGGCGAAGGAGAAGCAATGCCAACGATTTCTTCGTCCACCTTTGTCGTCTGCTCTCTCTCGATCGTTGCTGTGATGGGTAGGGTTTGCTCTCTCTCGTCGATGCACATCGTTTTGAGATGGGAGGGTTTCTGACCGATCCAACTATTTATTATGGTCATATGGTAATTTCAGTGAAACAGAGGGCTACAAATGTCCAAAAAAATGAAATATTGGGACAGGTTTGGTATTGCACACCCAGGATTGTTTATATCCCACCAAAAAGGTGGGATTGAATTATCCCATTAAAGCAGGATAGCATAGGTTTTAATACCGGGCCGGCGAGATTCAAGCGGGATGCTATCCTTTAGCTGCCATTTTAGCAATTTTGATTTTAAAGTTCAATTGAAAATCTTCAACGGGAGATTCTTCATTATTTTAACAACATTTGAAACTAGTGAATGTCATTTCCTGAAATTATGTCAAACAAAACCTTGGGGAACAAGAACGTAAATAATAATTCGTTACTTGCTTGACATGCAACTACAATTAATTAATCAACTAATCTACGACATAGGCTTATAATTATATATTTTTCTTTTGTTTAATATATATGTTTGTTAGCCCAAAGATTCTTTTATTTCTTTTTTTTCCTTCATTTTTTTCCGTCATTGGCCGAAAGTTGAAAACACGTGATTATTAGAACTGCTAGACAATATACACTCCACTTTTGAAAATCATAATCAATAAGCCACTTTAAACAACAAGACAATTGAAATCTTATTCAAAAAGATTTTACATCTTAGATTTCATATATATTTGAAAATAATATGAAGCAGACGAACCATCAACCTAGTGAACCGTCATATATATAAGTCATCCAACTTAAATTGTGGAGTTTCGAATGTCATTTCATTGACTATATATCATAAGATACTTAAATGTAAATTTTCTCTATTCCAATATAATTTAGTTGTAAATAAAGAAAATGATATATTCCACATATCAAATACCATAAAGTATATGAATTAATACAGGCACTATTTTAACCAAACACCGAAAATGAAAAT